ATAATTAAAGCCCGTACACTACATCTGATTTTAATCAGATTGATGTGTTACGGTACCCTGCAATTATGTGGTTTTACCCTGCAATAACGTGTGGTGTATATGAATTTCTGTGCAATAATATGTTGTTAGGTGTTACTGTAAAATTCTTTATTTTAACTGGAATTTGTTTTTGCTGACATTCTGGGTAGTATGGAGTTTATTTTCACTTTTTGACTCCCGTGTGTGAAGCACAAAAAAGGAGTCTTTGCAGTTTGTGCGTCTGTCTGTCTGTCTGTCTGTGTGTGTGTGTCTGTCTGTCTGTCTGTCTGTCTGTCTGTCTGTCTGTCTGTCTGTGTCTGTCTGTCTGTCTGTCTGTCTGTCTGTCTGTCTGTCTGTCTGTCTGTCTGTCTGTTCCACTGATATCTCAAGAACCATACATTGATTGTTGATGAAACTTGGTGCATACATGCTCTGAACTAATGCGCAGATTTGATTAGTTTTGGGTAAAAATCTGTGCATAATGATTAATCAATTTTTGGCTTTTTCACTGATATCTCAAGTACTTGTCATCACATTTCAATAAAACTTGGTACATAGATATCATAGGACACTGCACAGACCTTGTAGTTTTTAGGGTAATATCAGTACATATTAATTACCTAATTTGCATAATTAATTAATTTTCAGCTTTTGATATTTTAAGTAGTAATCATCACATTTCAATGAAACTTGGTACATGATTACTTAAGGACTGTGCAGAGATCTGATTAGTTTTGGGGTAAATTTTTGTGCATATTAATCACCTTATTAGCATAATTAGTTAATTTTCAGCTTTTCACCTGATAACTCAAGTACTGATTATCATATTTCAATGAGACTTGCTACATAAATCCTCTAGGACTATGCAGAGACCTGATTAGTTTTAGGGTAAATAATTGTGGATATTATTTACCTAATTTGCATAATTAGTTAATTTTTTCTATGAATGTTCCACTGATATATAAAGAACCACTAATTGGATTTTAATTGAAACTTGTTATAGAGTATTCATCATCACATTTCAATGAACCTAGGACTATGCAGAGACCCAATTAGTTTTTGGTAAATATTTATGCTTATTAATCACCTAATTAAAATAATTAATTAACACTGATATCTCAATTACTGATCATCACATTTGAATAAAATTTGGTACATAAATGCTCTAGAACAATAGACAGGCCCGATTAATTTTGGGTTGAAATTTGTTCATATTAATTCTCTAATAATAATTCATAGTTTTTTTTGTTCTAATCACATTTCAATGAAACTTGGTACATAGATATTACATTACGCAGGCCTTATTAGTTTTACACTCAAAATCTGTTCATATCAGTTACCTGATTTACATAATTAGTTTTTCAGCTATTCCATTAATATCTCAAGTACAAGTAATTTTTAATGTGTCTTCAATATTCTCAGCACACGAGGAGTTCTTTCTAAGCTTTCTTTGATTAATGAGTTGAATGTAAAATATAGGAACAAAGGTATATTGGGTGGATTTTATTTTCACTGAATCATTCCTTCAGCAAAAATTAATTCCAAGTAAAAATAAAGTATTTTACAGTACATTGCAACTCTGAAATTCATAATATTTTCATATTTACATTCCCAGCAATCAATATATGGAACTTTCCTTACATGGGTATTTCTTGTGTTGTTTTTTAGATCTTCATCACATGTCAGTCTAGTTGAGTAATATCATTTTACTCTAATCCACTTAAGTCATGTGACATTTATACAAGTTGTGAGCATGTGATGAACTTATATTTCTATAAACCATTATTTATACCACACTTTTCTTCCATGATTTACGTTATAGAAAATCTATGTAATCCAACATCCACACAATAAATGTGCTATACATAATGTCATCTATTCCTTATGGTTACATTGATGTCTATTTTAGGAGAGCATTCCAGAGGTTGAGTTCCTCACCTGAAGCGTTCCTTACTCTACGTGGGCATTTCGCTACCAGCCATGCATTACTGTGCATTTGTCAGTATATACTGGGCATTGGAGATCGACACTTGTCTAATTTTATGATTAGTTTAGACACTGGTGCCATGGTCGGCATTGATTTTGGACATGCCTTTGGGTCAGCCGTTGAGGTTTGTATACCTTGTACACTGTTTTATTGTCATTAAACTTAAACTGAAGATATTGATAAACTAGTTTTTTTTTGTATCTGCCACAAGTGACAATCCTACAAGAGTAATACAGAGTGCATGGGTTAATCAATAATCTTTGGTTTACTGGTAATATGTAAATGACTTGTTAAAAAGTTTGTGTAGATGGTTCATTAATATTGTGAGTTTGGTGCAATCCAAATTCTACAATTCTTTTGCTCATATACATCTTATGGAGATGTGTAGACTGCTGTTATTTGAATTTAACAAAGGACAAATTTTCAGTCAGTGAAAATCACAAAATTTCGTAGCAGTGACAATTTTTTTTAAGTCCTACAACATGGAGTGTCAGTGATTACACTTTAGTCTTCATAAATGCCTTAAAATCCAGAGAATTTATAGCAGTGAAAATTAAATGATTTACAGTATAAACACAGCATGTATTACATCACAAAAACATGGCATTATAAACTAGGAGATTACCTAGACAGTGTTTGCAATGAGAACATCACCTCAGAATTCAGTCACTAGTAGGTCTGTATTAAGACCGTGAATAGCAATAAAGTATAAAGAATTGATTTCAAGTCTATGGTTGATTACAGTTATTACCAGTACCGGAGTTGATGCCCATCAGACTCACAAGACAGATAGTAAATCTCATGACGCCAATGAAAGAGGATGGATTAATATTAAGTACAATGGTGCATGGTTTAAGAGCTTTGAGGAATAATCCAGATTTATTATTGAATACTATGGATGTGTTTGTTAAAGAGCCTCATCTCGACTGGCAGGTAAGAGATTCAAATCCGTCAACAACCATGCATAACTTATTTGCATATTATTTTTTCAATAGTGGAGGCTGCATGAACAGAATCAGTTGGTAAAATATGCTGAGGATGATTAAATGCATTTACTTTTCTTTTTTTTCAGAAAAGAGCTAAAAGCGATGCAAGCAAATATGGAGATGCCGCTGAAGATGCCAATGAAATGATAGAAAGGTATGCAAAAGATCGCATCAACAATGCAAGAAGAAAACTACAAGGTGCCAACCCATGTCACATAACAAGGTATGTTACATCCCTTATAGACTACATGCAGTTTTTGAAAATCCATGAATAATAGACTTAGTGAATCAGTCTAGAAGACTGTGATGAGCCTTACATGTGGGTCTGCACATGCCAGTTCCAATAGTAATGTACTGAAGTCATGGAGACAGACAATCAGTCACAATTCGTCATGTCGTATATACATGTTGTGATTCACCAGACCATATTAGTGCACTGGAAAGAGCACTCTAAATGGCTGGATTCCAAACCATATCATTTTATTGTGAGAGCAGTCTATTGTTTACCAATAGTGTCTTTCACACATGTTTGATCTTTCTTATCAAGTTTAATGGCATTCAGCCCAGGAAGGTCATAGAACATCCCAATAATATTTTTTTTTACAGAATTCCCCAAAACTAAAAGAACAGTATACCATTATGTCTCATCTATGCAAATTAGTCAAATTAAAAGAGTCTGAGAAATAGGGTAGGACAGTCGGATAAAATGTTAAAAACAAAATGGCTTCTGGTTTGAATGTAATCATGAAACAAATCAAGTCAAATTGACTTAGGGATTTGATCAAAAATAATTTCTCATATACATACCATTATGTTTTCTACAAGTAAGCAATTCGGAATTGGTGAAAGATGTTTGATAAAAGGGTGAATTTATAGATGTTGAAAAAATTGCCATGGGTTGGCAATTTTGAATCAAAACACATTTGGTCATTTCAATTTAAATACCTTCCTTCACATTTCAGGGATGAACTGAAAATGAATATGAATATTAAGAAACACTACTGTACTGGATACATTGATGTGTGCATGGGTGACAAGAAATACAGTATGCGAACCAGAGAACCAGCCACTGGACTGTCTGTAGAAAAACAAGTAGCATGTCTTGTAGATCAGGCTATAGATCCCAATATACTGGGTAGAGCCTATGAAGGATGGGAGGCTTGGGTGTGATAAAGTGAAGATGAGGGGTTCTTGAAACAGATCAGGCTATAGATCCCAATATACTGGGTAGAGCCTATGAAGGATGGGAGGCTTGGGTGTGATAAAGTGAAGATGAGGGGTTCTTGAAACAGATCAGGCTATAGATCCCAATATACTGGGTAGAGCCTATGAAGGATGGGAGGCTTGGGTGTGATAAAGTGAAGATGAGGGGTTCTTGAAACAGATCAGGCTATAGATCCCAATATACTGGGTAGAGCCTATGAAGGATGGGAGGCTTGGGTGTGATAAAGTGAAGATGAGGGGTTCTTGAAACAGCAGACATTGTGTAAAATTTTGTGAAATGTCAAGAAGTAATATAATAGTAGTCAGTACAGCAAGATTACCTTTAATCATTTTCATGTATTTTTTTTGAACATGATTTCCAACTACTGTAGAATACTTTATTTTCGCTTGGAATTAATTTGCGCTGAAGGAGTGTTTCAGTGAAAATAAAATCCAGCGAATATACCTTTTTTCCTATATTTTACATTCAACTCTGCAAAAAATCAGTGAAAATAAATTCCACACAAAATACCCCAAAAGTCTTTTCAGCGTAAATTTATTCCAGTGAAAATAAATTATTTCACAGTATTATTAACAACTTGAAAATATTTGAAATTTTTGTTAAAAAGTTATGCAGGTTGGTTTTGTAAAAGATGACTAAAGTTGACATTTGGACTCAGAGATTTCACATAAATATATACATGTAGTTATATTTACAAGGTATATCACAACACATAATCATAGGATTTGATCACAATTTCAAATACAGCTACAGCGGTCACTATTACTTATTTTATTTTCATTGGTAAATTTACAGAAACATATAATCATGTACTGATTTGATTTATTGCGATGGAAACATAAAAAGTTTGGTAATTTATCTTATAAAATAATTTCATTTTAAGAGTTCATTTCATGTGTTAAGAGAAAAATTACAATTGGTGTTTGTGTAACTAAAGAACATTCACAGATTATTTTAAATATAAAATGTCAATATGAAATAAATTTTATTGAAAATTAACTGAGTGTGTATTTCAAGCAGTTTTATGTATTGCCATAATAGAAAGACTATGGTGTATTAGTATATACAAGACCCGGACATGATTGATAGTGCATAATAAAATGTGATTGAAAACATTTCTCATCATATAAGCTGCATGTCCAAACATCGTGAATTAATTTATTTAAATAACTCACAATGGTATATTCGGCATATCAATATCCCTTTGTTTGTACAGCCCTGGGTAGTGACAAATAAATTGTAAACATTATTGGCAATAACTTCAGGAAACACAATTTGCTACAACCATAAGTTGAATTCTCAAAAGTGTCATATATTCTTTGGAGAAACAAAAGAAGGATAGTGTATAGTAATAAAACAGCAGACATATGAAACCAACATTTCCACCAGTCATTAATTTTGAATAAAATTACAAAACAAACTGACATGCAACAGTAACACATCATATGTGATGTTTATAACAAGTCTGAATGAAATAAACCAAGGTATGCCTGAGAAACGGTTGATACAAAACTATGTATAGGATTTCTTGACTTTGTAAATTAAACAAAATTGGTCCTGGCATGTCTGAGAAACAGAGGCTACCCAATACTTAAGTCACCATTATGTAAGACAGGAATGCTCACTGTCCTGTTGTTCTTATGCAAACCCTCACTGAAAGAGCAACATCCATAAAGGATTATTCAATATAACAATGTAAACTAATGAACATCATGAATTATAGCGGTTTTAACCATCAACTTCTAGTTTTGTTTATTTTTGTACTTATCCAATAAATTGATCCAAACATGCATTAATAACATTAAATCTGAAAAGAAAAGAAAACTATAGAAATAATTTGGAGAGAAAAATATAAAATGTTAAATAAATATTTACTCTACTCTGTTCACATTGAGATTGAAATCCCCAATACATAATACATTAGCAAGCACTACAATTTCCAATAATTTCATTTACATAAAATACTGCATCTGTAATCTTTCAAAATTAAGATTATCTTATATTTATTTCTTTGGTTTTTCACCGCCCCATGGGTAGACTAGGTGGCCAGCAAGTAATTTTTTACAAATACTACCCAAACTACTGGATTGTTTCTGAACATTGTTTGTTTTCCATGTATCCATCTTCTCCAGTTTTCCCTGTTTTAATACTACCGAGTAAGGTGTGGGTTCCACCTAAAATTAGAAAATACAAACATGTTAAAAGATAATTTCAACAAAAAGAAAGAAGCATGTATGGTATAAATGTAATTATGCTGTTGCAAACAAAAATTTCAGGACATTTACAAGAGCAAAATATCACAAATATCTGACTTCATGCATAAATACCTTCAATGCAAATGACTGATTTTCCTTGCCTAGAATTTATGCAATTTTAGAGACCTCCACAATTACTACCTTGTTATGATGCTTGGCTTAGGTTATTAGCCATGAAAGTTATTCATGTCACAGGAAGTTACTATAGACTGGCTTCATATGTCAGTTAAAATGTTGGGTGTGTAAAATATGTGCTTCGATACTCATTACCAATATCTAAAAGACCAAGACACACTTCATGAACGTATGTCTTATGCGAAAGAAACACTGTCTTTTATCACCAAATTTATCGGCAAACACATTTCTGTTTCTCATATACGTATATAAGCTGTGTCCAAAATTGATAAAATATAAACAATGAGTGAACAGCATTGCACCATAAAACTAGTTGTCACAAGTACTGGTAATAGAAATCACATTGGACAACTTACATGAATAGAGAGGCACAATGGTTGGTTTGATGGCCCATCAATCACAGAGAAGCGAACACCTCCCGCTAGGATATCAGATTGGATCAATCTCAAAAACAGAGAGAATACTGGGAAGGTTGTGAGGTAGACTACCATCTTTGCCAGGAGGCTTTCCAATACCAGCACAACTAGACGAAACTGCAGAAAAAAACACATAGTGAAACTTTGCGTATGTTTGTTGCAACGACTTCAAGTTCAGTTATGTGGTGACTTACACCAACAGAGTCACTATAGGAGTGATAGCAATTATAGTCAGTCAAATTGTCAAAAGAAGTTGACCTTTTCTGTTAAAACCTCACCCATCCCTTGGAATAGTACATTCAAGATCTGTTGATGCAGTGTGAAGGCAGAATGGTTGATCATAAAAGAATAACCCCCTCCTATCACAATGAATGGTATGATCCAAACACAGAAAACAATAGAATCAGACCAGTGCATTAAATGAGAATGGGGTGATTGCACTTACTGATGTGAACACCACGTAATACAATGCAGTGGTTGGTAGGAGGAAGAGTAATATTGTAAACATGAGGGTACCAACAAACAGCTGATCTACATCATACTGACATGAATCCACACGTTGTCGAAGCACATTCCATTTCTTACCACGAAATAAACGCCAGCATGATGACAATCCAGCTAGCTGCAGATTATATAATCTGAAACGAGAAAATAGAAAATACTGTTCATGTAGATGAACATTAAAAATACATATTGAAAGTATAATGAATGGACTGCTTCGGTTAAACAAATACAAATTTTCGTGCTTGCTCATCATCACCTTTGACTAGTACTCTACAGAGATGGTACACATCATATAACAGTAAACTGAATCAAAGCAAGTTATTTGACATGATTTTATGAATTGTGTGAATATAGTAAAATTTAGCCACAGTGATTTTTGAGAAATTTAGGCCAGACAAATGCCTTAAAGTTGTTAACATTTCTTGTTGTAATTTCACGTACCTTGCAGCATATACATAGAAACAGTAAATATGGAATGTCAACATTGATAAGAAATCCATCATTAGAGATAGGAAGACTGATAATCCAAGACATCCAGATAAACCAATGCACCATACTATTGTAGACATAAATGGCCTTAAAACATGCAGGTAACCTGTGAAAAATCAACCAATGGGTGGTCTTAGCAATTGTCATGGATGATCAAGTCACATTTTCAGTCCCAATTCGGAAGGAGTCCAAGAACAGGGACTTATAATTTGATTTCAATGAGTCCATGCATGTGTCCATCTTTAATTGTATTTCGGAAATATCAAGACCGATCCCATTCAAAGTTCACACATACGGTACATTATACTTATACATGTGCATTCTTTTCATGATCTGATTCAAGATGGCCAACTGGTGGCCATTTTGTTTTACTGAGTGCTGTTCCAGAGCTATATCTTCAGTATGCCTTCTCACATACATCTTGAGATACATTATTTGTTTCCTGATTTGATTCAAGATGGCAGCTAATTTTCAACTAAAAAATCAAACATTCTCTCATTCCAAAACCAGATCTTGGTTGTACATCAACATATTTCGTTCAAACTTGACACAAACAATGAACATCATGGCACCTTAATATATGCCACTTGTTTTGCTGATCAGATTAAAAACAGCTGACTGGTGATCATTTTGTTTTAAAAAATGCTGTTCCAGAAACATATTTCTGATAATTATGTCTTTTTTATCAAACGACATACATGTATATGTGTAAGTGCTTTCTGATATGAACTGAAAACGGATCGGCAATGTGTCATACCATGACTTGTTTTTGTTCATTTGGCTAATGATATGTACCAAAACACAACATTTGTCATCTTTTCTACTTTCACCAAATTGATAGATTTCAACAAATCAGAGTTAGCACAAATATTTAATTTTTTTTACTCATAATCATTTTCTGACAAGACAATGGGCAATTAATAATTGTTGGTGTACTTTCAAAATAAAAGATAACAGAGTAACAAACTTACCTAACCACAGATAGACATGGTAGAGGAAGAATTTACCCAAGAACATATCAAGTTGGCTATTGAGTTTTAAACCAGCTGGAACACCCATCATCCATGCCAATAACTTCTGTAACTCTCCGCCTATCACCTGTGAAAAAAGTGACATTTGATTTTCATTGTACGTCAAAAAAAGTTGTACAAGTATTACAAATTTGCAATTTTACTATTTTTAATTCCCAAAACAAAGACCAAGTCAAACTTCATGTATTAGTAAATTTGTGCCATGAAATTGAAAATTTCTGTATGAAAGTATGTATTTACTATATTGACAAAATCACTATCCCTAAGTATGTACATTCTTCATTGATAAATATAATTTTTCAGACCCAAGTAAATTCAATATCATTTCATATTTACTGTCCAAAATTATTTACATCAAAACAGCAACATTGCCAGCTCAATTGCTCACTGGTTTGCTCTGCAAATCTCAAGATCGTTATGTGACACGAACTGTTTATATCAAACCATATTTATTAGGGTGGACCGTTCACCTAAATGTGAGCAGTGTAACGCAAACTCATTTTGAGGTTCTGTAGTCTTGAAATTGGTAATTTTCAAATAATTCATCAAAATTAACAGGATGATTAGTTGCTGTTTTTGTGAATAAAACTATACTGCAGTGACAAAAACACACTCTAAAATGCACACAAATACATGTCCTATTTTATATCAATTGCCACCCCAGCTGTTTTTGTTGAAATGTGAGCGTACAGGTTGGAGATTACGAAATACTTACATCAACAAGTTGCATGATTTGAGAAGCCAGTAGGTTTGGATAGTCATAGTGAATCAACCATAACATAACAGCAACGCCAAGCAGTATATCCACAACAATAGAAGATAACATATTACCCTTTCTGTGTGGTGAAAAAGAAATCAGAGATTAATAAGTATTATTATACATCTGTCACAGTAACGCCATAAGTTACAGCGTGCCGTAATTTACAGGGTATTTTCATCCTACCATATAAGGAAATGCGAATTCCAAATATGGAATGATTACCCACGTAAGCGTCCTCTAATAATAAAAACAAACATGGCTACCACTAGGGTTTTACCGGACCCCATACAAAGAAGTTCACTGATTCTGTTTTAAACTTTTCAGATTTCGGCATACCTATGATGTATCATTGGAAGGAAAAGATGTATAATAATAAGGTTATTATGAGGATACCTCAAGGTATGCACTCAGACAGTACACCATCGCATCCACCTCCGCTGCGTGTCGGTCGATACTCCCGTTGTACTGTCTTTGTGCATACTTTGAGGTATCCTTGTAATAACCTCATACACTACATGCAAATTATTTCCATCTAGTGCTGTCAGTGATAACACTGAATCGTGAATGTGATGAGTAAATAAATGCATTTGTTGGGCTCACCTGATGTACAGCTTTGATGAAGTCCTCTGATACAACTCCTCATGATCACTTTGTTTATGCAGAGTCAGAATGTGATATAAATGATGATATCTTTCTACTAACTGACATCCAGTGGCTGGGAATCTAACCAAGCGTTGTATTGGATTACTTACACATAAACTGGGAAATAGAAGAAAACACATTACAAGATGTTATCAATGTTGTACATATGCAATTACAAATATAGCATAATACTTGAACAATTATAAACTTGTTTGAATATAGTTTGGAAAGAAAAAACAAGAAAGCCATAAGAAATAGCAGACCTGCTGAGGACCCGGCGTGAATTTGTAAAAATATTGTGTTGGGTATGTTAACATTAAATACATGTACATGTACTTAGGAAGTACTTAGTACTAAATATTAATACTCAACTACAATTATTTCTTGGGAATAAAATATACAAATAAGACCTGACATGTTGTTGCAAATAATTAACAGAGATTTTTCTCAACTAAATCTAAATACTGGGTAGATGCACTAATTAATGCAAAGCAGCACACACATATATATGTTGTCAGCACCGCACCAATAAGTACAGTATCTTTACAAAGTTTGCAGTAGATCAGCATAGACATGTCAGCCGTAGGTACATGTAAGCATATATATGCAAATTAGCACATATTCTGTGTTGTCACTAACAAACCAATAGTTATACTTACCTGTACCATACAAAGTTTAGAGAATATCAGAAAAATGCCATGAATAATCATAAGCATTAATATATGCAAATTTAGTACACATACTAATATATATGTTGTCAGCACCGTACATTATCCATACAAAGTTTGAATAAGATCAGAATGGAAATGCCAGAGACTAACAGACACTGTTCTCCACAAAATCTCCTGTCACCACATATGTATCAAACGGTAACTAGAAGGTGTTAAAATTTATGGCGACAATGATATCAAATTTGACCTTTAGATAGACAAGCAGTCTCTCGGCTGAGATAGCTCCACTGTTAGCAATGCACATTTCAATTAAAGAACAGAAGATATCATTAGAAAATGAACAATATGCATAGTATCAATGCAATGGGACTTGCTGTTTTCAACAAGAATTCAAAAATATAATTTTTCACCATAAATGATTGTGGTTTTTAACAAAAA